GCTTAACCTTGCATTTATTGTATTGCATGTAAAAGGCACTCTACTTATGCTTGGAAGTTTTATTTCGTTTTTATTGACCCTAGAAACATCTACTGCTCTCAGAGTACAAGAGAGAGAATGAGAGAGAGAGATAAGAAAATAACACATGTTGTACCTTCTCCCACAAAGTTGCTACTTAAGGAAATCTGGACATTGAGTGTCAAAGGATCTCTGTAGGCACCGTTAGCTGCCTATGATGTGTATATGTGTTTGTATTTTGGTGTCTTATAAATGCATTGTTATTGTTAATTATATCTTCTTTTTAATGGTTCCTCAAGAAAGCCACAGTATAATTACTGGCCAGTAGAATTACTTGGTCAGGGCTAAGCAGTGCCAGACCTGGTTAGTGCTTGGAGACCACCAACAAATGCCAGGTGCTGTGGGCTAGATTTCAGAGGAAGAAACTGGCAAAACTACCTCTGAATATTCCTTTCACATGCAGAGAAAACCCTATGAAATTCATGGGGTTGCCTTCAGTCAACAGGGGACTTGAAGGCACATACCCAAACAAACACAAAACATGTTGGCTATTCTGTGAATAAAGACAATTTTCTGCATCTTGAGACTTGATCTCCTTTCTTTCATGGAACAGGCTAGGCTTCAGGCTAGGAATCCTCTGAGGCAGGCCTTGGGGGCAGCATGGCTTTGGAGACTGCCAGAGCTTCTGGCACATGCAACCTCTACAGCCATCCCATTCACAATGCCTGACTCTAAAGACTCCTCACAGCCAGACATTTGAGTATCACTAGAGTAGGCTAGGTAACAAATGCCTTTTGCTGGAGAATCCTCAGATCCAAGCATTGTGGACAGAATGGCTTTGGGGGACAGAAAAACCACTCCACTCACTATGCCTGGCTCTGCAGACTCTTCCAAGCAAGATATCTGGGACCTTCCTATTGAATACTCCTCAGATCCACCATAACTCCTCAGAGCCAGATATTTGGGATCTAACCTGGTTGCTGGGGAGCAGTCCTCATCTCCTTTTGCAGCCCATGCTTCTTCCCAGGTAAAATTGGTAGTAGGGATGAAGGGGACAGGCAAGTAAGCAAGGCAGAAAGGGAAAGCCAGCATAATAAAATGCCCAGGGTACTTGAAATAAAAGCCTAAATGCATGCCACCATGACAACCCAGCATTTGTTAGTCAGTGGTGACTTTGTTATTGTGTGCCTTCAAGTTGTTTCTGACTTATGGTGACCCTAAAGAGAACCTATCATTGAGTTTGCTTGACAACATTTGTTGGAAATGTCAAAGCTGGGTGTGACTTTGACAACATTTGTACAGAGGGGGTTTGCCATGTCCATCCTCTGAGGCTGAGAGAGTGTGACTTGCTCTAGGTCATGCAGTAGGTTTCATGGCTGAGCTGGGAATTGAATCCTGGCCTCCAGAATCATCATCTAACACTCAAACCACTGTGCCACACTGGCTTATGTATAGTGTTTCCCATAGCAATGGTTTGAGAACCTCATTTTAGTCTGGAGCTATCCAAAGTGCTGAAACTATTTGTAGATCAAGGTTCAGCACTTACAACAGCTCTGTTAACAATCAAATAAAATCTTGAGTAGATCCACCACCTCACTGACACAGAATGTACCAGTGATCATGGCTGCCTCTTGAGGCAGTTGCCTCATTCAGCCCAATTGCAATGCCCAAAATTCCACCCCTGAAAAAAACTTTCATTTTCGCACAAGGTGTATTGGCTTGAATCTTGGACTAGGGCCTTGGGAGACCAGGGTTTGAATATCTGCATGGACATGGACACCCACTGAATGACCCTGGCCTCAGAGAATGACATTTGCAAGCTTTCTCTCAGTGAATCTTGCCAAGAAAACCTTATGAAAAGTCAGAGCTTTAACTCAGAGTTGACTCGAAAGCTCATAACAAGAACAAAAACACATCTTACACCTTTTCAAAGTCACACCCAGCTTTGGCATTTCTAACATTGATTTGATCATGCAGGAGTTTTGTAGGAACTAGTTCTTCTCTAATAAATACAAAACTCAGGTACACAGTAGTGTTCTCTGTAAATGATTGCTTAGGAAGAGGAAGAAACAAACAAAAACATCTGTAAGAAATGAGAATAGATGTAGAGTTTGTCAGAACACCTTAATTGCCTCCTCCAGGATCAGGTCTATCATTGCTAATGCACAGAAAAAGAGAAATAAGAAGGAGAGCAGATTTTATGTTGCCTCGATGCTCTTTTGTTTAATATGTCTGGCTTGGCCTTTGCCATGCAGTGCAGTTTCATATTAGCACTGTCATGACTTCAGCATTAAACAAAGGGGGGTTAACTGATGGCTAAGCAATTCCATTTTAGTATGTTTGGTATGTTACCAAAGCCTCAACACAGATGAGATTCCAGGATCAGATGCTTTCATACCTCATTAAATCACTAATTAAAATCTGTCTCTACCATTTAATCAAAACAAACCTTAGATGATAAGTCTACTGATTTGAGCCTGAAGCCCTATTTAATTTCCCCCCCAAATAAAATATTCATAATTTAGGTTTCTTTTACCTTCAAATGGTTAGAACCATCAATCCATGTAATTCCTTCTGTTTTCAATGTTTGGGGTTTGAGTATCGAGTATTTGGTTTACAAAAACACAACTCAGCCATTAGGAGGAAAAATCCTAACAGGATGGGGAATCTACTCTGGGTGTAGTCTGAATTTTAAAGGACTTATCCATGGGTATATCTACATTTTTACATTTCTAACTTTATCTACATCTACACTGTAGAAATAATGCAGCTTGGCACCACTTTGAATGCTGTAGCTCCATCCTATGGAATCTTGGGATTTGTAGTTTTACAAGGTCTTTATCTGCCTCTGCCAAAGAGTGCTGGTGCCTCACAAAATTACAAATCCCAAGAATTTGTAGTTTTGAATGCTGTAGCTCCATCCTATGGAATCTTGGGATTTGTAGTTTTACAAGGTCTTTATCTGCCTCTGCCAAAGAGTGCTGGTGCCTCACAAAACTACAAATCCCAAGAATCTCTAAAATGAAGCCATGACAGTTAAAGTGGTCTCAAATTGCATTGTTTCTACAGTGTAAAAATGCATTGTATATAGCTGCACCTAACTGCGGATAGCACTTTAAATAGCCCCTTTAAAGTTCATACTAAACCCCAGAGCAGTCATTGACTAAATCATTGATATGGAAGCCACCAGGGATGACAATGGCATGGGTCCCTTTCACATGGCACAGTTATAGCACTAAGATTCCATTCTGTTTGCCATGGCAACATCTTATGAAATTCTGAAATTTACAGGTAAGGATGGAAATAATATTCAGATAGTTGAAAAGTATGGTTTTTGACTGTTGAGAAATCCTGGTGAGAAGAATCCTGGGCTGATGAGAATCTTCACAGTTTGGGATTTATTCTATGCAAAATCCACACATGGTTGTTTTGCAGAGAAAGCAGCCTTTTCTGCACAGGAAACAGCATTTTCTGCATGCAAAATAATATTTAAATGCAGAACTGTTAATTCTGCAATGGTGCACCCACCCCCACAAGGTTGTTGGACTACAACTCCTATCACCCCTAGCAGCATAACCAATGTGAGGACAATGGGAGCTGCACTCCAACAACATCTAGAGGTAAGGCTTTCTTAACACGAACCATTCATGGGTGGCTGGTGGCAGAAAAGTCCCAAAGTATGAAAAAATCATTCAATATATCACTCAATTATATAACTGTCCTAATTCAGATAAAACTGCCACACAATATTATAGCTTCCTACTCCCAGAAGCTTCCTGTGGGGGTGGGATTCATTGAGATTGTCATCAAGGTGACCTTTGAAAAGCTAGGCACTAATCAGGTAATTGTCAAAACCATATTATAAAATTGCTATACAGTTTCTGTGATCTAACTATTTACATGTAGAGAGAGAAAAAAATATCATCTGTACTTCTTTTACTTTCAGTAGTGCAAACTGTTGAACGGTTATCATTATCCAACACTCTGCTTTCCCAGAGTACAACAAAAGCTAGTATATATATATATATATATATTTGTTTTGGAAGAAAACTCTCATCATTTTGCCGCCCTTCTCTGCTGTCAACACAGCTAGTCAATTTAGAAATGGGCATCAAGTCCGAGGATTTATTGACAATTCCATTGTCAGTGGCAAACGTTATGTTTGTATTTGATTGCTTGTCCCTTATTAGACCTCCTCTTCAACCTTCTCCTCCTCCGTTTTAGCTGTTTTCTGTTCTCTAAAGGACCTTGCCCAGACATCACTTTGTTACTTCATCGTATCACCCATCCTTCCATTCTTTATCATCTTTTTTAGTTACTGTTGTTATGCCCCCATAATAAAGTTTAGGTTTCATTTACATCAGTGGCTAGATGTGGGTTGGCTATATGGCATGACATACAGCTAAACAGAGTGTATGTTGAGGCCCAAGCAGCCATGGTGTTACTCAAATTGTACACAGTCCTGAGAGGGCACCTGCTTATTGACTTCAGTGGGGAATTAATTTAGCTCAATAGGAGGCAGTGAGAGGGCTAGAGTAACTCAAGCTGAGCATTTTAACCTATGTATACTGATTCCAAACCAGAACTGACAGTAAGGGCGGTTCGACCATGGAACACACTCCCTCAGAGAGTAGTGGAGTCTCCTTCCTTGGAGGTCTTTAAGCAGAGGCTGGATGGCCATCTGTCAGGGATGCTTTGATTGGGAGTTCCTGCATGGCAGGGGGTTGGACTGGATGGCCCTTGTGGTCTCTTCCAACTCTATGATTCTATGATTGTAACTCCAGAGACAGGTTCCAAAACAGTTAGTTTCATTTATAACAGCATGTAGAAATCAACTTTCACTCAGAGGCACAAGCTAATAATTAAAAAAAAATGGTAGCTGATAGCAGTTCAAAGGAATGGGTGATATGTTACTGGGTTCTGGCATGGAGCTCTGATTGGAGGTGTGCAGTGGAAAATTCTGGCTTACCACACAGCTGGGGGTTTGTGCCAAGGAGTCAAGGGAGCAATGGTCAGAGTGTCTGTCTGTGTCTTGCCAAGTCTGAATTGGAACTGCCCCAAATGGGCATTTTATAGGTAGAAATGGGTCCTGTGTCATCTCCAGAGGGATGTGCCCTTTGATTCCCAACTTTTGGCAAGCACCAGACATATGGCCCTTTATAATTCACTTGTGTGGAGAGATTATGTAGATTCCAGCCTCAGAAAGACCTATCCTGTCTATATGCAACAGTGCTCCTTAGTCAAGTCTACCAATCTCCATATCTGGCAGGCTATTGTTCTCGCATGGGGGCACCTCCAGTGGCTACATGATCAAACCTCACTTTTAATATCATGCTGATATCAAAGGTCAATTGGAGTAATGGAGGGCTCATTCATGGGGTTACAAAAGGGGGGGGGAAGGCAAAATGAGAGTGTTGTCACCCCAAAGAACTCTCACCCCAATGCAATTTTTCTTCATTTCCCAAATTTCTAGCATTGCAATAACACAAAATTTCAGTTAAGCATGCATAAACACACTTTAGGCATCCAAAGAAAAGGGACAAGCAAAGTAGCCAAGGGAATAAAACACAGCAAATAGAAGAGCTCTAAATGTGAGCTCTTGCTCACTCATTACAATGCTAAAATTTGGTAGATGAAGGACAATTTCATTGGGAAGCAAAATTCTTATTTGGGGGGCAATACCCTCATTTCTCCTCTCCCCCTCTCCCCGCAAGGAAGCAAGGACATTTTTAGACACAATAAGGGACACGTAAGACAACAAACCATAACAGAAATGTCCTGTCGGGGCACAACAATAGCTACCCCCACGTTTTCTGGTCCTATAATTCTATACCAATTTCCATGTAATCTTCGGCAACCTATTTATTTCATTTTATGTTTTTAAATTGTGCAATGACATGAAAAACTCTATACAGCATGACATACAATATTGTGGTTGGATCATTACATGGCTTACTTCTTTGCATTTTAAGATATAATGCTATACATACTTATCTCTGAGTACACAGGTATTGCTTCATGCTCCTAATAAGATTTTCGCATTTTAAAATGGGCAGATGAACAAAACTGATGACAGCTGAACGAAGATCCAGTACAGCAATTTGCCATTATCTCGATTATTCTGCTAAAATTTTAGTGCCCATTTTAAATTGTGGGTTGAGGAAAAGTTTGCCATTGACAATGGAGTGGTTAATAAATCCTCGGACTTCATGTCCATTTCTAAATTGTCTAGCAGTGTTGACAGTAGAGAAGGGAGACAGAAAATGAGACTTGTTTTGTTCAAAAAGTACTAGTTTTATTGTGCTCTGGGAAAGGAAAGTGCAGGATAATGACAACCACTCATCTATTTGTACTACTGATAGTGAAGGAAGAAAGATTTAAATTGTAGAGATGATATTTTTCCTCTTTTCTTTATCTACATGTGAATATTTAGACTATATACATTCTAAAGCAACAATTTTATAGCAGGATCTTGACAATTACATAGATTAGTGCTTAGCTTTGAAAAGGTCCACTTTGATGATAATCTCTGTTCCTTTTTCTCCCCAAAGGTGCCTTCTGGGAATAGGGAGCTGTATATCATGTGGCAGATTTACCTGAATTACCAGTTATATATTCAATACACACTAACCATCAGCGGAACGGGTTAGATGATGGACAGACTGACAGGCATATGTTAATGGCTAGATGACTGAGTGATTTGACATTCCCTCTATTTATACGCGAAAAAATGTAAATCTTTGCTTGTCTCATTCATGCATGGAAGATTAAATACTTTTAAACTTTTTCTCCCAGCTGGACAAGAGTTTGTGCAATTTAAACTCTACTTTATTGCTCAGAATACACTTGAAATTTTATTGTCCTTTGTCAATCAATCAATCGATCAATCAATGCCTTTATTGCAGTCCACAGACCATGAGGCAATAAACATTTAAACACAGCAATACTAAAATAATATAAATATGCAAACATATGGTAAAATAATGAATATAAATATACAGATTTATATATAATATGGAACACATTAATATGTATGTCTGTGTGCATTTAAAAACTTTAATATAATTTAAAAGTAGCAAAAAATGGAAACCAGCTGCTAAAGTGCTCCTTTTATTTCACAGAGAAGGTCCCTTGTTTAGAGATCTTATACAGTGGGTCCTTGGTATTCTCTGGGGTTTGGCTCCAGAATGCCCCATGTATAGCAAAATCTGTGGATGCTCATGTCCCATTAAATACAGTGGCATAGTAAAATGTGTCTCTTATATAAAATGGCAAAATCAAGGTTTACTTTTTGAAATGTATATATTTTTAAAAATATTTTCAAACTGTGGATGGCTGAATCCATGGATATGGTGGGCCAACAGTATTGTTAATCCTTATCTGCTCCCAATAATATTGTCAATTATGTAGTATAGCTCTACACATTTCAATATCTGCTACAAGAGAGTAACAACTTTGCAATCTCTTTTGTTACCCTTTTGTCAGTATCTTTTAGCAGATATCTCAAGTACCAATCCAGGGCCCTTCCTGGAGACTTAGTAACAGTGATACTAACCTTGCCCCTGGGGTGGTCCATGTCGGCCCAAAGGCCTCTGTTGCCCTGGCCTCACATCATCTAGTTCAGATGATGTAGGCCAAAACTCTGGGGTCATGATCAGACTTCATCCTGCTAGAATAGATAGAGATCCGATGGATTTGGCCTGGTCCCAGGGTAAACAGGCATTACCTCTGGTTTGCCACAAAGAGTCCTGGAAACTCCATGGCAAATCTTGGCTGTTTAGATGGCCCCCCATGCTCATTACTTGCCACATCATCACTTGTACTCAGAAGCCCCAGTACTGTGTGTGCCTATTATTATTATTATTATTATTATTATTATTATTATTATTATTATTATTATTATTTTATTAATTTTATTATTACTGCCTCTGGTGAAGAAACGGGACACCTGGTCATGTAGGTGCACCCAGGCAACCCATTTCCACATCAGATGTGGCAATGGGGGCTTCTCATTACAAACAACAGCATGGCAAGGTAAGGAGCACATGCTGATAGTGGGTCCTAGGTCAGTGCACAGACCGATCTTGGGTGAGCACTGGAGTTGGGTCTTTAATGTAGCAGAAAACAAGCTTGCTCCTGGCCTGTCTGCTCAACCCTCCTGTCATCTTTATAAAAGGCACACTAAAAAAAGAATATGTGATAATGTTTGTATCAGCCCTTAATGGAGCACCGGATGAACATGAGTCAGCAATGGGATGCAGCAGCTAGAAAAGCCAGTGCAGTCCTAAGCTTCATCAATAGAAGTACAGTGTCTAGATCGAGGGAAATAACAGTACCACTTTATTCTGCTTTGGTCAGATCTCACTTGGAATATGGTGTCCAGTTCTGGTCACCACAATTCAAGAAGGCTGTGGACAAGCTGGAGCATGTCCAGAGGAGGGAGACCAAAATGGTGAAGGGTCTGGAAACCCTACGAGGAGTGGCTTAGGGAGCTGGATATGTTTAGCTTGGAGAAGAGAAGGTTAAGAGGTGATATGATAGCCATGTTTAAATATTTGAAGGAATGTCTTATTGAGGATGGAGCAAGCTTGTTTTCTGCTATGTTAAAGACTACGACATAGAGCAATGGATGCAAACTACAGAAAAAGATTCCACCCAAACATTAGAAGGAACTTCCTGACAGTAAGAGCTCTTTCAACAGTGGAATATGCTGCCTTGGAGTGTGGTGGAGTCTCTTTCTTTGGGGGTTTACTAACAGGCTGGATGGCCAGCTGGGAAAGCTTTGCCTGTGTTTTCCTGCATGGCAAGGGGTTGGACTGGATGGCCTTTGTGGTCTCTTGCAACTCTGATTCTATGAAAAACTCTCTAGGGACTGACTGATAATAATTTACCTGTCTTGCAGGTGCAGAGGAAAATAATTTTATTTTTCTTCTTCTTGCAAGGAATGATGAGAATATGACAGGTGAGGATCTGCATTCCTAGTTTGTATTTATCAATCTGTTTGTAACTGTAAAAATGTAGGGAAAAGAGGAGGGAATTAATACCAGGACATAAGCCTGATAGGATGGCTCATTGTAAAAGTCAATCTGTCCAAATGTTAGCATAGATTTTGCTTGCTAAATCAAAGCAATGGAGTTACTTTGCAATGGAGGAACATCTGCTTTTCAACAAAGCTGTCAAGAGATATGGTACAACTGAGATATAAAAATACAATAAAATACATTTTTACCACAGTAAAATCACACTTTGATATATACATTAGAACAGCTTTTTTAAAAAAAAATGACAGCAAAGGAAATACAGTCCTCGTGCAATTATTGTACAAACAAAAATGCATACCCTCCAGCTGTGTTGGTTGGACAGGGATGGCCCCAGTTAGTCTTCTGCTGTCCCATATTCTCAGGTGCTTTTGAAATATCCCAGTTTCTCTCTCCTTCTCCCATGCCGCGGCCCCAATCCTCCTTTTTGTTGCCCCCAAAAGAGCAAACTGCTTCCCTGGTTCTCATTGGCTGCATCCACACTGCAGAAAGAATCCAGTTTGACTTCACTTTAACTGCTATGGCTCAATGCTATGGCATTCTGGGAACTAGTTATTGTGGCACTGGAGTGGAGCACCAGAACATGGAAATGGCATCTCTGCCTGGTTGTGAAATATCTCCATTGGATATTGTATGAGCTTCCGGGGCAGACCATGATCCATTAGCATGGACACATTTCTGTTGAATAAATCAAATGTTTCCTGAAGGTAAAATACTTAAGTAGTCTACAGCCTAACCTTGCATTAATTGGAGATTGCACATTCTTTCTGTTCCCTCCTGTTCTAGTTCTTCCACTGTGGTTGTGAAGATGTACCCTGTGGTTCAGAGCTAGCGTGGTGTAGTGGTTTGAGCATTGGACTAGGACTCTCCAGACTAGGGTTTGAATCCCTGCTCAGCCATGGAAACCCACTGAGTGATTATGGGCAAGTCACACTCTCTCAGCTTCAGGGGAAGACAAATCTTGCCAAGAAAACTCAGCGATAGGTTTGCCTTCAGGTCACCATAAGTCAGAAATGGCTTAAAGGCACACAACAACTAACCCCCATGGTTCAGTGTGTGAAGGATCGGTCCCAGGGAGAGTGGGAACATACAGAGATGTTCCTGAAACACCAAGACAAGAGAAGGATTAATTGGGATTGTCCCTGCCAAATTAAAGCAGTTAGAGGCTGTGGATTTATAGTTGATACAAACAGCTACCACTGTTTGCATATATTTTCCGGGGGAATCTAAGACATTCATTTCTCGGCTCCAATTTCCAAGACTATATTAATGTGTTGTTGCAGCTTGCAAAGAGTCTAGCTCCTAACTTTCCTTACAGTCTTTGTGGTACTAGGACTCACCCTTCACTCTGCCCTGGATAGAGACCAAGTGGTAGGACTCTCTGAGCCTTACCTCCCCCGGCAGTGCGGCGAGCGGCGTGGAAGGCGGGACCACTTGGGCCTTCATAGGCCTCTCTGAGCCTTACCTCCCCCGGCAGTGCAGCGAGCGGCATGGAAGGCGGGACCACCTGGGCCTTCATAGGCCCCTCTAAGCCTTACCTCCCCCGGCAGCGCACGGCAGGGAGAGCAGCTATTGTTTAAGCCACCTGTAGGACTTAATAGTTGACTACTATTATCTGAAGATAGGCTTGGATGGCCTTGAGGGACTATCTCCCTTCCACATCCCCCTCTTCATTTATGCAGAGGTCGAAATAATTAGAGACTTTTCGCATGCTGGAGCTGACTATAGTCTGGGAGTGGACATTCAGGTTGTGCGGGGGAAGGGGAGGTATGGTGGTAACAGGGCCAACAAATGTTACAAAAGAAGGAGGGATCGATGTTTAATACCTATCCCTCCTTCAGTTGGCCCTGTCTCCCAGGATAACTTGGAGAGCGTGCCAACCATTCCACTGACCC